CAACTGAAAGAGGATTTTTTTTTAAAGATGAAAGGAGAGATAAGAACGGACACTCAGCTATAGCCTTAGCTAATACAGGTGAGCTCAGCAAGCATTACAGTCTGGTGAATTTGCAAACAGCAGAGGTAAGATGAGTGTTTTCTGTACAGTCTGTTTTCAAGTTACCTTTATGCAACTGAATAACGAGGTTTTAATTAGGCTACATCATAGTATTGCACTATACCTTACCATACATCTAAAAGAAGTTCTGAGTATGAAAACACAAAGGGAGAAAATTGCATTTTCTTTCTCTCATCCAACAGTCATGCTCCCTCTTACATTTCTGCCTCCCGCAGTTGCACCCTTGTCTTTTCTGTTTCTCACAACAGCTGTGCCCACCTGAAAAACAAAATGCTTCGGAACAATCTATGAAGATTTTCCTTTTCTTTTTGGAGAAGGGTTTTGAGGCGGCCTCTTCTCCTACAAGGAGACAGCCTTTCTTCTACCATGTGCTCTTTCTTTCTTGTTCTTGCCTTCAAAGTTAATTCTCTCCCCCTGCACGGTGATAGGCCTTTGTAGCTAACAGCTGTCCCAGAGATCACCAGCAGAACCCGCAGATACCAGCACTCCTCCCCTGCAGAGGGCCAGTGTTAGCTATTTACACACGGGTGACCTACTTCACCGCTTAACTGTTTTTGACACTATTTTCCTGCTATATGGATTAAGATTTTTTTCTTCCTGGAGTCATCGGTGTTTCTCCTAATCTTTTGTGACTCTGAAACATTTTGTGATGGTGAATCTAACCGCCTCTGAATCTCTCCTATGGAATTTGCGTGAAGAACTGCTATACTGGGAGCTTAAACCTTGTCTGGTTTAGCATCTGGTTTCCAGCAGCAGCCAACAGAGGATGCCCATTTTAATAACAAGGTCTGCGTGTTGTCCCCAAGCACTCCCAGGGTCCACTAATTTGAGTTTTGGAGGCTTCTGTGGTATGGATGGTAGGTGATGTTTTCTTCCTTAACAGCCCTTATATTTAATGGGCTTTTCTTCTGTTAATTTGTCCAATTGGGTTTTAACTCCTACACTTTGCATCTTGCAGCATCTTGCAGTATCTCACAGCAAAGATTTCCAGAGCTTAGCCTCCTGTGAACACCCCTTCTTCTTGTTTTGAGCATAATTCCTACCAGTTTCATTAATATCCTTTTTCCTTGCTTGGAAAAACACAGTGACAGTGTCTCCCCATTCGTCTTTTCCCTGCCACTGGTGATTTTATAGACCCCTGTCATGTCTCAGTCACCCGTTTTTCTGACAGAAGAGCCCGCAGGTATACTTCATCCAGAACCATTCTGTTTCTTCCGTTGTCCTTTCCAAACCTTTTTCTGAATCATTTCCTGCTCTATTATGCCCTTTCTGAGATGTGAGGAAAAGCACTGTACATACTACTCAGTATGCAGTGAACTATGGATTGATACAGAGGCGATTGCATTACAATGTTCTCTGCTCCTCTCTTGATAATTTCAAATATTTGATTTGCTTTTCTGCGTAGAGGGGAACACTGAGCTGATGTTTTCACAGAAATACTCATCAGAAACCAAAGATCTCATTTGTGAGCGGAAAGCCAGCTTACAGTCCATCACTGTATATATGATTTGTTTCCCGTGAGCATTACTTTATATTTAGCTGAAAGTGAAGTATACTACCTCACATTTTATCTGCCATTTTATTATCTAGTCACTCAGTCTTGTAAGGTCTTTCTTCAGCTCTTCACAGTGAGCCCTTTAACTTCATCACAATTTGTCCTCTAACTTTCCTTTACCTGAATAGCTTAATATCATTAGCAATCTGTGATATCTCACTGCTCACCCTCTTTTTCCAGATCATTTATGAATACATTAAGCAGCACAAGTCACAGCACAGGTCCCTGCAGACTCCTCTTGTGATCTCTCTTCTATGAAAACTGACCTTTATTTCTGTTTTATTTCTGTTTCCTATCTGTTAGACATTTTTGATCCATTCCTTTTTCTTCTTATTGCATAAAAGCTGTGCTTTAAAAAAATATATTTATTTATTCATTTATTTTAAATGAAGCTTTGTCTGGGGATCTCATTGCCACTGGAAATCCTGGTAGCCCTTAAACATGAGCTGTCCCTTGTCCACACACATTAAGTCCACCGAAGACCTGCAAGACGTGACGTAACGTAACAAAAGCTGTGCCGTGTCTTCCTCAGCATGTCACATTTATATACGTATCTGCTGGTTCTGTTATGCAGGACAGATATTACTTATTTACCCGGTCTGGACAACACAACAGGCTTCATCGTGTATGGATGCCTGGGTCTTCACTGAAGTCTTTTTTGAAAATGTCTGGTACATTCCCCACCCAGTGAGCAGGGGAAGGGGTCTCAAAATTGGGGTCACACTCTGCAGCCAGTGCTTTGGCTTTCTGACGCCTGAGTCCTCTCAGAGCTCTTGGATGGAGGCCATCTGGCCCCCACGATGTCTTGCTTGCATTTTATCTGTTTGTTCCCTCACCTTTTCTGCCCCGTACTTTAATTTGAGATAAATCTGCTCAATTCCCCATAATGGAAAGTGCTGGCATGGGTTTCTCTAAGGCCCTGCACTGTGAATACAGATGCAAAAACATAAATGTCGTATTTTCTCCTATGGCCTTGCTTTCTCTAGGTGTTTCTTTGACACCTTTTACACAGGCCCTACCCAATTTGTGGCAAGCCTCCTGTTCCTGACACTTAATTGGAAAGGGATTGTTTTTTGTTGTTGTTGTTTGCTTGTTTTAGTTTTTTTGCCTGCATGGCTTTGCAATCATTCCTCAGACTCAATTCTTACCTCCTTCATGCTATTAATGTAACAGAATTTATGTACCCATCTATCTTCCAAAACGCTTATCAAAGGATAGAAAGGAAGTTTCCTTTTTGCTTCTAATGGCTTCCCTTACCTTGTTCTTTAGCTGTGCTGGCTTCCTCTTATGTCTTTCTTTATTATGTTCTGAGAAGCTTGAGTAGCCCATTATTAGCAGGAAGACGAAAACTAGGTTTCTCTTGAATACTGGAGAATAGGCCTAAAGGCCAGGATTTACCTTGCAGAAGAGTTACTTTGCATCTTCCTGTCAACAGAAATTTTCTTCTTGACCATTAAAGGATTCTTCCTCCTCTGACATTCTTAGTCATGCCAAGTCCAGCTCAAAGAGCAGCTGAGGATCTGCCTCCGCAATGTTGAAAAGGATATAAAACTGAACACTAGCATTGTTTTTAAGAAGAATTTTATACATATACTTGCCTTACTGCCTTTAAAAAGAGCAGATGACTACTTTGGAGACATTAAGAACAGAAGTTAAGAATAATTTCTATAGTATCCCTTACCCCGTTTTAAAATATTGCCATCCAAACATAAAGACAAGTATGTCGCTAAAAAGGCGTGGTGTCACTCAGCGTTTTGTGATGATATCTCATTGCCACCGTATCTATAACATGCCAAATGAAAAAAATATTTTAGGGACCCAGTTACATACTTTTATTTTTAACTTACAACAAGAAAACTAAAAAAAAGACCTATTTAATATCTCAGCTAGTCCCGCAGTCCACCAATCAGAAAAGTATGGTTGTAAATATCCAGTCACTAACATACCTTGCATTGCATGCCCAATTGCATACTCCCTACCACTACCATAAAGAAACATCAGTGGATAAAAACTAATCCATAAATTTAATTTTAGACTTGGAGTTTGAAAACCTATTTATGTCACAGTAGAAATGTAAACAGCTGAGGGTATTGAAATCAGTTGCTGATATCAATTTTTGTTTCATTTTCCGGTGCCAAATCAATATTTAAAACATTGATAAACTCTGAAGGATAATTTTTAATAAAAAGAAATTTCTGTGCAATGGAAAGTGTTTCAGAAAATATGGATAAAATTCAATGTGTATGCAGCTTCTATATGCAGTGTAAAGGTTTTTATTTCTTTTTGATTAACTTGTTTCTGAAGCATTCAGAAACCCTACCAAACACGTCTGTGTTGCAATGAGAGTATTTGGTATGATTTCTGCACCAAAGGTAAAGAATTGAAATATGCTTCCTGTTGTTTAGTGGATCAGTTACAGTCCTTTCTTCAGCTAGCTCTGTTGTGTTACTTAGGGGTAATGAGTGGCTTTTCCACTCCTATTTTTTTTATTTTCTGTACCTCAAGAATATGCTTACATAAACCTTGTCTTGCTGTAAAAAAATTCCAAAAAATGAGATAAATAAATATTTGCAATGACTGCTTTGTTAGTTTAAATCATCTCTTTTCTCTCTCAGTAGTATCCACTCTATATTCTTCTGATGACAGCTTTCAGGTATGACTTTGTATTACCTGTACAATTTCACCCGCTAAATTCCTTAAGTATGCTGCTGTTTTCTAAATTTAATTTAAATTTTGTTTATTAAAAGTTACAAATGTTGTAATTCAGTACTTGTTAATGCATAAATATCAGCCTTGTGTTGAGGCAAATACAGAAGTCTGATTGTTCTAAACAATTTAAGCATATTTCTTAAAACAGTATCCCTGAGGAGGTCAGTTAAATCCAGAAAACAAACGTACGTACCATTCTACTGAAGTGATGTAATTTTTATTTTGTTTCAGTTTAGGTTTGCCTTTTAGAAAAATTTTCCTGATTCAGTTCCGGTTCAGGCTCAGCAAAGTTTAAAAACAGTGACTGAAGTTCAAATTGAAGTTTGGGTTCGGTTAACTCTACAAGTAGAAATACATCCAGGACGAATTAAAGCAAAGTATGTACCCTTTGAGACTAGTTCTTTGTGCTAAATACAGGAACAAACAGAATATATCTATTTAGTCTTGTTTGTGCAGCTGAATGCAGCACTGCATGAACCAACAACAGTAATGCATGAATTAGGCAATAAAGAGATGTCTCATGACAGTAGCTACTATGTTCCTAAATCAGTTCACATTTCCTAAATAAAACCATGTTTAAAAAAAAGAGAGTGAGAAGGGGTAATAAAAGAACTACTTCAAGGAATAGAAATATTTATTATGACTTTGTCATTAAAATGCATATACATAGAGAGCACCTGAGGACTGCAGGCTGATAATTATAGACTACTACCCTGTCTATAATTACTGAACATATGATTCTGTAACTCTGGAGTCTCACTAGCACCTACGACTTCCTAGACACTGAAGAAAGCAACAAAAGACCCTCCTGGATTCTGCTGTATGGAGCAGCAGTGGTTCCCACACTCGTCTGCTGGTTGAGAATATCTTCATCTGCATCACTGCTACTTAAACTGACTCGGAGCGACGCCAGTTGTCATCACCACGTGGAGGAGTCAGCCACACGCACTGCACCTGCGGGAAGCACCATCCCCTTGAGCAGCCTGTTACCCCTCCTTCAGTCTCACCATTTGTCCAGATTTTCCGTGGGATTTTGCAGGGGGCAGGAAGAAGCATGCTCCTGACAATGAGCAGGCTCACTGCCAAATTTCAAGCCTTTGCTGTAAAGCTAGAACAACAGGTTAACTGATTTTGCTTTCCAAGCCTTCCAAAATAATCCCGTATGAGGTAAATAATCAATAAAGGAAATATATGACTTAGATCACTTGGTGACTCACAATCATCCCCTCAGAGTTAGATTTGGCCACAATGAACCCTTTTTTTCTAATCTTGGGATAAAACTGGCTAAAAGGAGAAGGGACAATCACAAGACAGTAACAGTAAAAATCAGTGTCAGATTTTGGAAAGATTAATTGAGGAGTAGAGGATGTTATTTGTCTCTGAACTGGCCAGGGCATCTCTGATCACTACAGCCAGTATCAGCTCAGTCCAGACATTTGGAAACACCGACGAGCACATCTGCAGATCTCTGCATTTCAGCCAGCAGCCTCACCGGACCGACAGAGCATACCTTGAGTCAGAGGTCGCGGTGACAAAGGCGATACGGTCCGGTGCTGGCACGAGGGATCGCACTGAGAGTGCTGAACTATCGATAGAGAGACCGTATTTGGCCACCGCATTCATGGGGAGCTGCGGGCGGGTTTGTTTTGTGATGAGCCGTGTTGCTAGGCAGGAGCGCAGCTACAGCTTGTACCAGCCGCGGCTTTTTCTGGACACGAGGCTCCAGTTCCTAGAAATGAGTAACTGGAGTACCTCTAAAAAAGTTTCCTAAGAATGATAAACACTTGATTGTGAAAGTGATGGCAGAAAATCTGTGCACTCAGAAGACATCTACACTGCCTAGGCAAATATTCTTTCCTTTCAAATCCCCCTTTGCTGGGTTAAAAATAAATAAATTAATTAAATAAATTCGCTTAACACACTTAAGTAGCAAGGGGGCACAGTGGTTAGGTGGTCTTCCTCCTTACAGCATCCCTCTTAATACTAAAGTGTAGGGGTGGGGGGGATAGGCCAGAGACATCTGGGCTTCGTAAGGCTGACAGGACCGAATGCAGACTCGGAGCTTTGCATCCTCTTCACATCACTTGCGAGTGCCTCTCCCTGTCATTTCTGGAGCCCATTCATGCTCGGGAATGATCTCTCTGCATGCTGCTACTAGGACATGGTACCTCCAGCACTTGTATTTATTTTCTCAACTATTTGAAGCTAAGAAAATGTATCTTTAGATTACTACTTCTAAATATCAATTGCTAAAAAAAGGGCAATTATTTATGGCAAGACAATAAAATTAAAATCCAGATTACTTCAGAATTCTTCAAATGTTTATTCATTCAGTGATGCCTTCAAGACTCTTTTGTTTTATTCTTACTGAGAGCAGCAAAGAAAATGCTAATTAGTCCTCAAGCTCAGGTCAAGAAAACCAGGTTCAGACATCCAGAGTGCCACCAACGAGCAGCTGATGCAAGTCTGGATCCCATAGGCCTTCTTGGCCACAAGGGCACAATGCTGGCTCATGGTTAGCTTGTCCACCATCATGTCCCTCTCCATAGAGCTGCTCTCCAGCAGGTCAGCCCACAGCCTGTACTGTACAAGGGGTTTTTCCTCCCCAGGTGCAGGGCCCTGCACTTGCCCTTGTTGAACCTCATGAGGTTCCTCTCCAACCAGCTCTCCAGCCTGTCTGGGTCCCTCTGAATGGCTGCACAGGACTCTGGTGTGCCAGCCATTCCACCTGACACCTTCTTGGAAGACAACTCCATAGACAAATGCATCTCTATCATGCAGCTGCGTGCTTGATCCAAACTAGTTACAGTACAGCATGCTTATAATAGCTGAAAAGTCCATTTCCAGGTCTTTTTGTTCAGGCTTTTAGTGTAGTTTTTCTTCATCATGCTCAAAAAACCTGTCACAACTCTCCTCCACATCTGCCACCAACAAACGCCAATTTGAGAGTGAAGGAGGAAACTCCCACCATGCAAGGTGAGGTAAGGACAGAGCTGGCAGTCTCTGAAGCTGGTGAGGCTCATGTTTGCCACGTCTCCATTAAATCACAGAATCACAGAATTTCTAGGTTGGAAGAGACCTCAAGATCATCGAGTCCAACCTCTGACTTATGCTTGCCCTCACTTTTTAACATGGTAAGAATAATGACTTTAGATAAGGCATTAAAATATTCATGCTTTAGAGATTTCCCTCAGGACTTGAGACACCACCGATGGACAAGTCCCAGTCCCACTGAAATCACAGGAAAAACCCATCTGTGGCCCACATCCGTGGGAGGTTTAACTGCTTCCCTCGCTGCTGATGCATGACCCTGCACATTAATTGTTCACTTGTAACATTCACCAGACCAGACACTTGCTTTTCTTTTAATTTTCAGGTGGATTTTCTCACTTTATAAGGCATTGCCAGAAATTCATCAAGCAAGTTTTAGACAACTTTGCCGGAGCAGGCAGGAATGCGTTACGAGACACCATATGCCAAACCACACCCGAAATTATTAACAGAGACAAATCCAGGCCATATATATAAATATATATACAAGTTCTTTATTTTTTTTTCATTACTTTAAGGCGTGCTTTAGACTGTTTTATTTTAAAATAAAATATAGCCAGGGGAAACGCTTAATAAATTTAAGCCGCTGCTGCCGACGCTCAGCCTCCCGCCGCCTCCGTGCTCCTCAACGCACGGATGTTTGCGGGACCGCCGCCCTGCCCGCCTGTCCCTCTGTCTGTCCGTCCCTGTGTCCGTCTGTCCGTCCCCGTGCCCGCCCGCCCGCGCCAGGCGCGCCCTGAAGGCCGCCCCGCCCCCCCCTCCCCCCCACTGAGGCGCCCAACGGCCGCCGCAACGGCCGCGCACGCGCGAGGCCCGCCCCCGCCGAGCTTCCCCCCGACCGTTAGCGCGCCCTGCGCATGCGCTCTGCGCATCCCCCCCCACCACCGCTCTACGTCACCAGCTGCCCGCCCCGCCCCGTTGCCCTGGCGACCGCGAAGCGCCAGGGCGGGAGCTGAGCCGTGACGTCACGGGGGCCCCGGATGGGCGCGCCCCGCCCCGCAGGCGGAAGCAAGTGGCGGGAGCTGGGGGGGGGCGGGGAGCGGAGGGGAGGGAGGGGGAGCGGCCGCCATGGGCACGGCGCTGGACATCAAGATCAAGCGGGCCAACAAGGTGTACCGCTGCGGGGTGAGTGCCGCCGCGTCACGGCTCCTTCCTTGCTTTTACGATTTTTTTTTATATTTTTTTCCCGATTTCCTGTTTTTTTCCCGATTTTTTTAAATGTTTATTTCCTGATTTTTATGTTTATTTCCTGATTTTTTTTTTCATTTTTTTCATTTATTTTCCGATTTATTAATTGATTCTTCTAATTTTTTTATTTTTCTCCTCATTCCTTAATTTTTTCCCCGCTGACACAGTTGTTGATAGCTACAGAGCGGTCTTGCAGAGTTCCCCTTTTGCAGCCACTTGAAGGAACGTGGGGGCTTTTTCCCCTTTTTTCCCTTTCATTCTTCATTCACTTCAATTAATAAAAAAAAAAATGTCACTGGCTCGTGTTTGCTCACTTTTTCTAGAAATAAAATATCGTCAATCAGAGGTTTCCAGCTCACTTCTTTCATGTGCGGCAGTCCAGCCACTCACTCTTACTGCACCCCAAATCCTTTTCACCCATGGGTCTGTCCCCCTATGCTACAAGCTCGCCTGTCACGGTGTTTAAATCTAAAGCACATCTCAGTTTATTGAGTGTTTTCAATGCTGGGAAGCTGCTTTAATCAGTTTGGAGTGGAAGATGATGGAAAAGCAGTTCTGCCACCGTCAACTCACAAGAGGTGGCGTTCACAACCAGCGCAGGTATCAGCGTGTGAACAGCACGAATCTGCAGGTGTGGTGTCACGGTGGGAAATGCTACCCTCTGGATCTCTCCGGCATCATTTTGCCATTGCATGTTATTACAATGATCTTAATCCTTTTGTTTTGGTATTGTAGTGTTGTGTTCTTCTTCAGTTTCTCTACTTGGCTTGCTTTATGTTGTTCTGAACAGGATCTGTTTTCTTAATACAAGAAAAAGATGTTTCTTCTGTCTTCAAGCTGAAATTAAGTAAGATTTTTATGGTTAGTAAATCTGTCACTTCTGCTGTAACTCCACGTGAAAAGGTTTATAATTTTATTTCATCAACTAGGTCTGAAGTTTGGATATCTGACTGGTGTGAAAGCACAGTGATAAAAGAGCCGTGCACTAGAAGTACAACATGAATTTTTGATGGAAATTTCGAAGGCATAGGAAGGAATTACAAATCTCCCTTTAATGTGGCATGGAATACGCGTACCTTTGTTTTTTGTAGAAATTTACTGATGGTTGTACACTTCACTGACATCAGCTATGCTAATAATACTTTTAGTCTTTGTCAGCTGTCACCTCCAAATACACTTTCATCAGTGCTACTTGAAAATGAAGGGATTCCTGTAGTGAAGGTCATAGTTCATCCCAACGTCTAGCTATTCATCTGAAAGCAACAGCAATACTGTGGCTTGACCTGATCTTCCGTTGTCTAAACCCATTTAAAACTGCGTTTGGATACAAAAAAAATGTGATGTCTCAATTGTGTGGTGGTGTAGTGGCCTTTTTGTTAGGCCTATAACAAGATAACAGCACAAAACATTGCTAAAACACTGTTGAGAGCTTTCTAAGTCATAATTTGTGTAAGACTGTGATTAATTCAGCGTAACTTCATGGTGCAACTCACTTCTGCAGTCATTCAGCTTCTGCTGCCTGTCTTGTGCTGAGGGTATTGGCCAGGATCAGGAAATGGTATTTGGTTGGAGTGACTCTTTAAAAAAATAATCTGTTGAATCAGATATCCCCTTTTGTTTTTCTTATGAATGTCTTCTCAAATAGAGTAGAACAGAGTATATTTGATAATAGTATCCAAATGGACTTGTGCGGATGTGAAGAATGTGACAGTAGAGAGATGTCTTAATTGTGAGCTGTAGGAAGTTTATAAGATAGCTTTGCGTAAGTATGACAAGATTTGTGCGTGCAGGGAAATGTTCTGTGCAATTAAGCAGAGGGATAGCTAAGGTACCTTTAATGTGCCTTATGTTAATTTTTGTGTGATTTATAAAGGCATTTGGTGTGTAGCGGACTGCTGTAAAGACAAAGAAGATTGACTTGCACTCCTAAGTAGGTATGGAGCATTTGCTTAGAGAGCTGGTATGTAATAGCTAAAATATTCTGGTCTTTTTAAATTAATAAATTATAAAAGCACCAAGCAGTATTTATGCTGAGGGTCATTTTGGCTTTAACAGCAAACTAAATGGTGTACGCATGTGATAGCGTGTAATTGCCTTCTCTATCATCTCCACATGTTGGTTATGTGAAAGTAAGTGATATAATCTAGCCTGTAGGTTTTCCCTTCATTGTGCAAGAATCAGACATGTTCTGCCTAGCACAATCTATTTCTTCATTTAGGAAGCAATTGGTAGTCTATGAAATGGAGATCAGATGCTTTGGATCAGCTCCAACTGAGTAGGGAAATAGATAAACAAAACAAAGTTGGGTCGATGAAGACCAGTCTGAAGAATCTCAGCCTGCGCTTTTAGGTGATAATAGATCAAAGATCAATGGCAACGGCTGCTGATTCTTCCATTCAAGCTCTGGTTTTGTATGTCAAGAGGTGAAATA